GGCTGCAAAAGCATCTGACAGCGTGCGATGCAGTTGACCGCGTTTGTTCGACGGTTAGCCAAAAGCTGCTGCGAGGATAACTGGAGTTCGCTTGATGATGATTGATGCTCCCTGACGAGATCAGCAAGGTATCGTGGTTCATTTGTGGGAAGCACTTTGTGTGTCATGAGTGCGACCTTGCAATGCCTATGTTCGATGCCCATGCAGCTCGGCTAGCCACTGCACGGACGTTGTTGCAGAGGCTTCGTGGTTTTGAAACCAGCGGCTGCTCCGCCTTTTTTTTTTTTGCCCTTAAAATACGCTGCGATCTGCTTTAGAGTGGACGTTCAAAGATCCCGTGGCGTCATTCGCAAGAGTGAAGAGAGAGGGCTCCCTTTTGTGTCGGCGTCGCGGTCCGAACTTGCAAAATGACACAGCAGTTGGCCCAATGTGGATATAACATCGCGATCATCGCCACCTACTGCGAAAACTTAGCAGGAACCCTCCTAAAGAGAGTCCAGAGCCTTGGCGACGCTTTCCCTGGGATAAGCAAGCTTATAACAATAATAACAGTGGGTAGTTCTGTGATATATGCTTCTGTGGGCTGTTCTTTAACGTGGGTTGATGCACCTATCTTCAAGGGGTTGGGACTGGCCACATCCGTTGTTGATGTAATGCAGACAGCACAATTTAACTAAAATTGGTTGAAAAAAGCAGCTCTGGATAAAATATGCATAGAGAGAGAGATGAATGGTTGAAGTGGAACATTTGTATGAATGCATTATTCTCTCTGAACAGTATAAATAATTCACCATTTGTGCATTAAATTAAAGATAATTATTTACAAATTGTAATAATAAACACGCAAAATAAGAGAAATACATTCCCACAAAACCACAGTGATTTTTGCATCGGTTCCTGAGTCTAAGTAGCGCCAGCCTGACGACAAAACCTTGGTCATTACGAGCATAGCCGGTTAAACAGCACGCCCCCACCACCCCCTTCACCACGCTGGCTGAACACCGTGCCCCCCCCCCACCCACTCCCTCACTGCCAAGGCACCGGGCAACAACATCACCGGAGCCGCTCCGCTGGCTAACACGCTCGCCCGCGTGTTCACCCACCGCTCGTGGTTCCGTGCCGTCTCGATCCCTCTCGCTCACGCATGCACGCGATCTCAGTTTCGGCTATTTTGCTCATTACCCCCCCCCCCCCCCCCCAATGGGCGTGTTTGTCCAGTTGTCATGCCCTCTGGCTGCTTGTTATGCCCGATACGTGCGTTCGATGCCGTACGTTTAAAATGTCGCGTGTTTAAAACTCGCGGCTGCTACGGACGGGGCCTGTAATCCATCACTGTGGCGGCAACTGCAAGGGTTAGGGGCGCCACGGTGGCGAGGTGTTAACTAGCTCGCCTGGTATACAGGAGATTGGGGGTTCGATCCTGACCCATATTTGGAGTTTGCATGTTCTCCCCCGTGGTCGTGTCGTTGTTTTCTCCGGTTCCTCTGGTTTTTTGCTCCACATTCAGATTCAACGTCATGTGTCTAGAGTGTTTGGCTGCTATAAATTTCCACGGGATAAGCCACTTCGTTGGGCGCTCATTTGTGGCCAGGTGGCTTCTGAAGAGCTATATCTGAAGGGGCCTTACCTGGTAAAATAAAACTAGTATTTTGGTGGCTCACACACAGAAACTTTCTTCCCGTGGATCTTGAGGAGGAGCCGTACCCTGGATCACCAGGAGAAGGCGGTGCGGCAAAAATGTGCACGCCACCTGTGCCATCTGTACAAGGATTGAGTGTTGCCTCCTTGCACGCATGGATTTTCAGTGGGTGCTCCGGTTTCCTCCTGCATGCAAACACTCAATACTTGGCCGAAACACCTTAATATATAGAGAGCCGCAGAGCTTACGGGAGGGGATGTGCTGCCTTCCTGCTTTGTGGTTCCTCACGCCTCTTTTCGTTGTTCTGTACGTATGTTGAACCTAGATTTAAAGCTTTCGTGACTTCAGGGATTCATCTTCTTGGTTCTTTCGGTAAAGTCACGTAGAAGGGAAACAATAAAAATAATATTTTATTATATTATAGTATTTAATTTTATTGTTTAATATTATAATATTATTTTATTATTTTATTATATTATATTATTTTATTATGTTTTATTTTATTATTTGTATTGTTTCCATTCTACGTTACTTTACCGAAAGAACCAAGAAGATATGTTGAACCTCTTTCGCACCGTACGTATACAACCTTGCTCATCGGAGGTGCGGGGAAAGGACACCAAACCATACGCGTCAAGAGGAGTTGAGCGAATACTTTGCGGCGTGTAACAAGTTTGATATTATATTGCTACTATCACGGGTGTCACGCCATTGCTAGCAGCGCGTGTCATTTCATACTGAGGCTTCCAGAGCCAATATTATAATTCAGGTTTATTTGATTGGTTTAGAGCCTGCAGGAGATGTCAATGAGAACTATGCCCCTGACACAGCCAAACAAATCAAGCGGTGTGTTGAAAAGCAATTGTAATTGTTTTGCTTGGTTTTTGAAAATAACCGGCTTCCTCAAAGACAAAATAAATTGCCACATTCGTCCAGGTGACAACTTGATTTTGTTTTTGGCCGTCTCAGGCTGGCGACGGAGGGTGTGCACAGGTCCAGTTGACATGGTACCCGCAAGATCTGACCTGGAACACAAATTACGAGTTCCGTGTGGTATCTGCGACCAGCGCGTCGTCGCTTCATCCTCTTGCAGTCGCTCGCTGTAATGCCAAGCATGTTTTTATCTCCATGCGTCTTGGGGTACTTTTTAGTTTTTTTGTTCCATTTCGATTTGTTGGGTCCCGTGTTTTTAATTTGTATGTCATGACAGGTGATGCACGCCGATTTAAAACTTTATTCTGTGCGCACATCGGCTGTCTGCACAAGCGACGTTTTCACTACACCATTCAACAAGTTGTTTGGTGATGCTACGCTGCCAGTGATGCACAAGGAACAAGGAAAATCAAGACCCGTCAACAACACTTGCCTTAAAATAAGTTGTATATATATTTTTGATAATAAAGGTTTTTTCGGGTTAGTTTGCGTAAAAATATAAAGGTGTCGTTAAATCCGCCACCACCTGACACAGCCAATTAGTAAGGTTTTTCACGCAAACAAAACGTGCCAATTCGTTACTACTTCAGCACAGCTGTGTGTTGGATAGTAAACCCACTACATATACATTTAGAGTTAGACTTTTCGCCGGTGATTACATACAACCAGCTTCATCAGGCAATTCGCCTGAATTGTCTCCAAGTCTTCCTGTTTCGATCTTAAATAGAGTGAAGGTGACGTCATCACTGTAAGCCTATTGGTCATGTTTCTTGAAATGGCATTCTTCATTGAGTTTTGTCTTCATCAGCGCCGCCGTCCACAGGTCTCTTCGTATTAATTCTTTTTAGGATATTCCCCCAGGGCCACGGAACGTGCGCAGAGCAGGCTTTTGGAGGCGGGCACCAAGTGCAAGCCCCCGCCACCTGACTTACCCCGTCCTCTACCCACAATCCCTCGCTTCCTTCTGTGTTCAATCACGACCGTGAAAACCCTACGCCGTCGTGCCATCACGGTTATGCCCCGCAGTCCATCCGCTTGTTCCCGCTTGCCTAGCAGTGCCTGTGTGCCGCCTTGCGGTGTACACAGCGCTGTGACCTTAAATTGTAAAACTGTCTCATTGGCCAATGGCCCCTTCTTGATGTGTTATGAAGGACGGTCCTTTAATGAACTTGTCGAGTTATTTTTTGTATCTCCATATATATACAAGGCAAACTATGTGTGTCTGTTCAAAATGTTTAGCGTACTTCCCGACATTCAACAAACTGGAAATTTGCCATGTGGGTACTTTCCAGACTGTACATCATGCAAAAATAAAAAAAAATACACTTGTTTTAGTTTTTTAGGGAGGGAGCTCAATAATGCATATGTTTTTTGCACGGCAAGTGAGCTGTGACGTCAAATCTGTCACGTGACCCGCGCATGTGGAAGCGTAACGCATTGTAGTGTAGCGGTTAGTGCGCTGCGCTACGAACCCGGCGACCCGAGTTCGATTCCCGCTCACGGCCACCACCGGTGACGATTATTTCAACTGCTCCTGGGCCTCCCCTAGGTCGACTCAGCCTCAAACGAGTAAATGGTGTGGTGTGTGAACATCGCCACTGGGGAGACAAAGGCGGCCGGGCGTGGTGAATCCAAGTCCCGGGCGAAGCCGGGTAGTAAAGCTAGTATTACATAATAGGAAGTAAGAGGAGACGATCGCTGTCTCGAACATAAACTCTGGGATCGTTCCGGGCGGTTTAGTCGGCGGCGGAAATGTCACATTCAATCAATTAGCACGTGGCAGACAGCCTTAATAAACTAACATTGAACTGTCACGATAAACTATTTTGCTCACTCTGGCAGACACTTCTGAGGGCTCGCGATCACCGAAGCGGCGAGGCTTTATTTTAACACGGAATTCCAGGGAGCATTGCAAGTGTATCAACAAGCCTTGTGGGTTTTATACTGGTAGGAACCTCCTAGTTACACCAGCTCATAGGGGATTATTGTGTCTGTCCATCGTGCAGGGAGGGGCTCGGTGGGGAGGGAGGGGCTGGGTTGGGAGGGGAGGGTGGGGAGGGGCTGGGTGGGGAGGGTGGGGCTGGGTGGGGAGGGTGGGGCTGGGTGGGGAGTGGAGGGTGGGGCTGGGTGGGGCTGGGTGGGGAGGGTGGGCCTGGGTGGGGAGGGGCTGGTCACCCCGTGGTGCCCTTATAAAACTCAACGTTTAACCTACTCACGCCGGCTTGTGCCCGCCCTCAATGTATATATTTGCGGAATACACCACGCCGCCGTTGACCCTGGCCATTGACCGAGCAACCCAACGTGTTCCTACCAGCTCCCTCCGCAGGAATGTGTTTTTTTGACCCACCTCCTCCGTCTCGTGAAGTTGGAAATAATCATACGTGTGCCCCTCTGTCTGTGTCTCCGTCTCTGTCCTTCTGTGTCTCTGTCCTTCTGTCTCTCCCCTATGTCTCTCTTTGTTTGCGTCTTTCTGTCTCTCTCTCTCTGTCTCTGCGTCTGTCTGTGTCTCTCTATATCCGCGTCTCTCCGCGGGCGGGCCGGGCTTGCAGGCTGCCGCACCGGAGAGGCCAAGATGACGAAAGCCTTCGGCCTGGCGGCACGCTTCATCGTGCACACGGTGGGGCCGCGGTACAACTCGCGCTACCGCACGGCGGCCGAGACCTCGCTGCACGGATGCTACAAGCGCGTGCTGCACATCGCCACGTGAGTCGGGTCGACACCAACGGCGAGAGGGGAAGAAGCGAAGCCAAAGCGTCGCAATGAGCGGCCGTCGCTGAGCCGCCAATGGGTGTCGTGATCTGTCGGCCACCCCCTAGCCAGGACTACTCTTGGATAGGTACGGTCCGTATCACCGGGCGCTGTGATCCGTGAGCGACAGGTTTTGCAGAGGTTCTACGGTTTCGGGGTGCTCCTGACGCCTGGTGGTCCCCCTCTTTAAGAAGACTAACAACTACAGGGGCATCTCACTCCTCAGTGTGCCGGGAAAGGTTCTGGCAAGGATTATTCAACATCGCCTTGCCAGGCACGCTGAGGAGAGGCTTGCGGAGCCCCAATGCGGTTTCAGGAAAGGGCGAACCTGCACAGATGCCATATTTTCTATCTGTCTGCTACAGCAGAGGTGTAGGGAATTCTAGCAAAAGTCCCATCGGTGAGCTCCGGCAGGCAACGCTGCATGCCCAGCTACCGCATTCCACAACTGTTGTTCGGTCGGATGGAGGGGGCTAAACGGGCGCGGCACGGGCTAGAGAAGAGATGGAGTGAGGTGGTACAGGAGAATGTGGAGCTGAGTTGACTTGCCGATGACTGGTACCAGCGGTGTCAAGATCGGCTTCTGTGGAGGAGGCTCGTGAATGACACTACTGGGCAGTTGGAGACAGTCGCCCTCCAACGACAACGGAGGGCAGAGGAGAGACGCTCACAACAACAAGCGGAGCGCCGGGTGGCTAAAGCCCAGCAAGCTAGCACAGTAGGAGGCACCAGCCAGTCACCTCAGTCAGTCGACCCGTGGCACCTGGGTCTGTCCCGTCACCTCCTGCCAGCGGGCGTTCGACACTTCACGTGGCCTCAACGTGCACATAGCCTGGCACAAGCGTCGTGGTGACGTCACCGCCACTTCGTGGCGAATGGCAGTTGTTGCGTGTGAGAGACTGCGCGCGACTGTATTGAGCGCTAATACAGTGGTTAGTGCGCTGTGCCACGAAATCGGCGACCCGAATTCGATTACCGCTCACGGCCAACACCAGTGACGATTATCTGAACCAGACCTGGTGCTCTCCTAGGTAGACTCGGCCTTAAATGAGTAGCTAGCGCGGCGTGTAAATATCGCCACTTTGGTAGACAAAGGAGGCCACGTATAATTCTCGTGTGCTGTGTTGACCTTCATAGGTGCTCGCCAATCGCACTTTTATCAGCGGTCATGAATAGGTTGTTCAGAGGACCTTTGTCTTTATCTCTGTGTGTGCTGCAGGGAGAATCGCCTGAATTCCGTGGGGCTGTGTGTCATCAATACGCCCAGGAGAGGCTTCCCAGCAGCTGACGCGGCACACATTGCCTTGAGTAAGGCCGCCGTGTCCCTATCTGTCTGTGTGTGTGTGTGTGCGTCAGTGCGGTATGTTTGCCTGTTTGTGTGTGCATACGCGTGTGTCTGTCTGCCTCTATCTGTGTGCGAGCGTGTCTGTGTGTAGTGGAATGGTTAGCACGCTGTGCTACGAAGCCGGCGACCCGAGTTCGTTTCCCGCTCGCGGCCAACGCCACTTACAGTTATCTGAACGGGTCCTGGTTATCCCCTAGGTCGACTCAGCCTTATATGAGCACCTGGTGCAGTGTGTAAATATCACCACTTGGGAGACAAAGCTGACCAGGCTTGGGCCTGGCCACCCACCCCATCGTCTGCCGTGCCGGCCTTGATAGGTGCTTGCTAACAGCACTTGCACGAATAGTCTGTTAAAGCTATAGGGGGAATCTTTGTCTTTATGTCTGTCCACATTGTCTTTGTGTACGTGTGTGTGCGCATTCGTGTGTAGCTGTCCTTGGTCCGTGTGTGTGTCTGCTCATTGTTTATACATGTGTGATCGTGCGTATGCATGTGTATGTCTGGGGGGCTGTAACATATCGTGCTTATTCTAATCAAACCACGTACCCCCTAAATATCCTTATTTATTAATTGCTTCTCTCCGAAATGCCACTGCTGCACCTTATTTCGTGATTTTATTCCACGATTTATTGTTTTTTGAACCCACACCTCAACCGTGTATTTTACAAAAAAAATTACCGTGCCAAACTGTAGCTGTAATCACGATTGATGGCGACGGCGGTGAAGGCAAGCTAACATCTTTGGGCCTATTTCTGCATTCATCATCTTCGGGGTAGAGAGCCCTGTGGGCAGGCAGAAGAGTTCGTCTGACGGCGGCGCTAATGGTGCTGGCGATTGTGTGTGTTTTTTTTTCCCCGTCCTTGTAAAATAAATTTCATTAAAGCCATTGCCGAGAATATGAATAAGCGCACCACATTGGCTTGTCAGACGCGCTGAGCTCCAACAGCAGCTTTTGAAATGCCTTATGAAACATTTTTTCCGTAATTTCTCCCCCCCTCCCCACTGCTTGTATCCCCGATGTCACTATCGGCGCCGTGTCTTTACGACACGAAGGATATCATGGAGCTGCGTCTGAGTTACCACTCTATCTCACGTGATCTCAGGTCTTGAATCTGCTTCACGTGGTTCGTTAGCTTCCGCACGGTCTATAGGGGCAGACGTAGATGGGGATGGTTTCGTTTTGTTTACCTTGCTTGTACTTTGTACCACTATCATGTTTTTGTACTGTTTGTTGTTGTAGCGTTTTTACCTGCCCCGACTGGACATTTGTGGATTCCTCCATTATAAATAAATATTCAGATTTATGATTCTGTGAAACAACGCCTGCCTGTTCACAACTACCTGCCTATCTAGGCTCACGAAGCATATTGCTCGCGTGCCGAGGTGCTCATTTTTAATAAGGGCCGTAACATCTGGCCCCAGAGACGGCGTGCTTAGAGAATACAGAGATCCTTTGATTCTACCGGATCAACAACAAAAACATCAAACATCTTTCATCCCCTCCGTGATCCGTACTAACGCGGCGTTGTTGTTGTTTTTGCCGTCGACATTCCCAATAGGAACGTAGGGAAACGCGCCCCCGTTGTTAGACATCGTTTGTAAAGGATCTGTAAGGGCTCTTGACGTTGCTTGGCGCTCGATCCCCTGGGTACGTATGGAACGGGGATTTAATTTGTATGCTCAGACGTGCCCGGCGTGAGTAAAGTAAATGATGCAGCCCTGCAGTTATTTGTTCGCTCCACCGCTGGCGGAGAGACCACCACGGGAGATGTCTTCTCTCGTAGAGAGGCCGTCCAGAGGGTATTTTTGTTCTTCGCTTTGCACGCTGGCCTGACATCTGGGAGGAGGTTGAAGTACCCACACTTTACCCCACCACACATGCAAATTCCCCCATCGGTGAACTGTGGTGTTACCCTATGAGACCTCCTTTACCAGTGGCAAAATATAGTAGTAGGTTTTTACCCTTTAAACTGGTACACACACCTTTATACATATTTTGCCACTGGTAAATGAGGTCTCATAGTGTAAAATAGTGTAAATGCTTACCCCGAGCTCTCAATAGTGCGCTGTTTTTGAGTTGTACGCCTTTTGGTGTCTTTTGGTCCAACACCAATGGAGACTAGGCTCTAAGAAAAGCTGTCTCGGGTGTGGACCAATCAACTTCAAGGACAGTGCATATCATTATCAGAGTTGTTTCTTTTTGTTTGCATTTTGACTGCTTGTGTTGTGGTTATTGCAAACATGATGCCTTGTATAAAGGTGTCTTGTATAAAAGTTTTGTACCAGTTTAAAGGGTGGTTTTACCCGTTTTGTAATTCTTCTGGGTGGACGGTGAGGCGGTGGGGAAGATGTTTAATTTTTTTATTAAATTTCGATTCAACGCGAGCCCGGTACTTTTGCACCGATCACAGCACAGGGGGCAGGGCGAGGAGGGGGGGAACAGAAACCCTGCAAGCAAAAACCCGAGGTCAGCGTGCCCAGGGGCTTCACGAAGGGGGGACATTTGGACTCTCTGCCCCACCCGAGTGGGTGCCACAAAGCAAGAGAGCCGGGGAGGGAGCGGTGGGGGAGATTTAAAAAAACTTGTCCCCCCGTTCGTTTAAACTGCCGCGCCGAGCAGTCGAACCGGCGACATTCCGGATCCGCTGGTCCAGTGCGCTGACCGTTGCAAATGGCAGCAGCGTGCACACGGAGAACGCAGACAAATCTGCGTGCGCCGAGGGCCGAGTGTGAGCGAGTGGCTCTGCTGCTATCCAGAATCAGAATATTTATTTATACTGGGGGAATCCGATGAGCTATGAAGCTCTTTTTCGCCCATAGTTCCAGTAGTGGCGGGTCAGAACGTTACAACGATAAATAATACAAAAGCACGATAGGAGTGCAAAGTATAGCAAAGGTAAGTAAATCACCTTTAAAAAAATATACAATTAAAAATCTATTTTTTTTTCTCACCTTATGAAGCCCACTGAGCTAATAGCTTCTTTTTCGGAAGCGACCTGCACAAAGAGATTATCACTTGGAAATTTAGAGCAGAAAAATAATCTGAACGCTTGACGTTGATTCAGAATGTGGAGGGAAAAACTGGAGTACCAGGAGACAAAATCCACATGGCCATGGAGAGAAAATGCAAACTCCAAATATACAGCAGCAGGCATCGGGGTCGGGATCGAACCCCCGACCTCCTGCATACCAGGCGAGGCAGATAACATCTATCCACCGTGCCTCCCGCCCACCCAAACTTTTTCAGAACACGCGCGCTTGCGTGTTTCTCTTCGACATAACTATTTCAGACAGCTCGGCAGACACATCTGCAGCAACTTACGGAGCGTGCACCTTCAAATATAATTCGATACTATAGGTGTCCGGTGTAATGCAATAAACAGTCCCAACAGAAACCATCGGAACATTAATTTTTTTTGCGTGTGCATGTTCAATCGCGGTCGTCGGAATTCCTCAACTTTTGCGTGTGAGTTATGCGAGTGGAAATTGACTTACACACTCGAGCGTGTTTGCTGCCAAAAGTGTAATGAAATAAAAAGTCCCAGCAGATTAACTTACTGTTTACAGCCTTGGTCGTAGTTACGGTGATTTTGCACGTTTCAGTGAGACGGATGGCTGGTTCCGATTGAGAGATGGAGCTGCAGTTACTCGGGTTATTTATGTTTATTTACACAAGCTTACATACCTCTGCCATTAGTACATCTTTTCACAACAGTGGTAAATGAACAAGAACTTTTTCTTCGCAAGGCGCATTTACCCGATGGAGATCATATAATTTTGAAGATAAAACACATATCCTATGAAGCGATCTACTTTTACCGCGCGTGAAGACTTTTTTCTTAAATCCTCGCTGGCCCTGTATGTTCTGTTTTCTGTGGAGTAAGTTTTAACAGCCGCGATGCTGTTTGTACTAAGAGTACGTGTAAATATTCTTTGGGTCTTTCGGTAAGACCCAAAGGATATGAATTCCTGCGGTCACGAAAGCTTTAAGTCAAGATTTAGTACGTGTAAAGATTAAGCGTTGCGGTTTTACGTTACGTACAAATTCGGTAACCACGCTGAGTCCAGGTCGCGTGCAAAAGTCAGACGGATTTTGGCATCACGTGACCAATGAAGGTTGGGCAGTGAGACATGGAGGAGTTCTTCACGAAGCAATGTAAACACTGTCCTGCCGTTAGTCTCGACCACTGGCCATCAGACCTTCACTCTTCCTGCCGAAGCCCGTTTGCTTTACTACTGCCCGATATATGTGTGCGTGTTTGGGAAACTTCTTTCGCGCCGTACGTAGCCAACCGTGCTAACGTACGTCGTTCAGAACAGCGCGGCGCTACGGCCCGACGCACGCATTCTGTTGAAATGAACGCACCCGCCGACTTGGCACCGTCATCATAACGGGGGGGGCTAACTGCATCCCCCCCTATATTAATCGTACAAGCCCTCCCCCCAGCCCCCAAAACTCGCCCCCCCAAACTGCTAAAGCTCTGCCGCGCTCGCTCATAGTTTCCTGAGCAGGTGAGTAATGTGGCCTGCGGAGATTCTTCCGGCGCTTAATGGCTTTGATGATAATTGGATCTTGCGGTGTGAGCGCCAGAGTCCCCGGACGCGCACGCTTCGGGGGGGGGGGGGGGGGGGGGGGGGGGGGGGCCTCGTCGCCTCTCCGGCGTCCGCCGTGAAAGCGCCGCTGGCTCGTCGTCTCCGGGATGGTGGCCGACTGTTGCTCCCGACGTTCCCGACGCGATGGCCCGCGCCTCGTGCAGAGCCGACCTCCATGTGGCCCGGGATGGAGGGCGGGGGGGGCCCTGACAGGCCGCTGGATAAGAAACTGATTTCCGCTCTGACCGGCGGCCAAATGCTCCCAAGCGCGCGGCCAGATTTGCGCCGCTTTTGCCGAATCCCCCCCTCTCTCTCTTTCCTTCCATCGTGTAGAGTCTTGCCGGTTGTGAGAAACACCACTGTCTGGGAATTTCATTTTGTGTAAATAAATGGGCAGATAAATGGCCAACTTGAATAGCTGGACGCTGTGCGTTGCTGTGAAGTTTTAAGCGACAAGCCAGCCGTAGGGGCCCTCGGAGAGTGCGTGGGTCATTGATGCTCGTTCAACATTAATATTCTTTAATGTTCATGGTTTCCAAAAGCACTTGCAATGTTTTTTTTACATTGTGTTATTATTTTATTACACCTCCGTTGGAGCCGTTTGCGGGTAATTTTTTTTGCATTTGCCAAAGTTGGATGTAGAATTCAGTTTTGAAAGTTGCAGTTGTGTATCTGATTCAAGCTGGAATAAGATGATAATTGGTTAAATGGATAATTACAGTGAAAATTCTACTACTTTTGGATTGCACGAGCATTCTGTAAAAAAGAGACAGATGGGCGGGTCAACAATTTACAACAACAACAAACTCTATAAAAAAATCTATAGAAAAGCTAAGCAGGTCACGAAAATAAATAAGTAATGCGTACAGGCGTTCCTCTCATAGCGTTGTTTCCTTACAACGCTCTTTTTATGCAGGACGAAGATTCCTCGAGTGTGTTTCCGAGCGTCCCCGAGTGGAGGCACGAGCGTGCAGTTTCAGGGCCCATGCCGTTAACCCATTTTTTAGTCGCGTGCGCAATCGCCGGGTGGAGGTGGTGGCTTTGCCTGCCCCTTGACCCCACCCATCGGTCATTCGCGCTAGGGACAGGATCCGTAATCTCTGTATGTGCCTGTGTCTCATCGTCACGCCACCCCCCCCCCCACCTCCTCTCCACCCCCCTGCTCTAACCAGGAACCGTCCGCCGGTTTTTGGAAAACCACGGAGAGAGCATATCCACCATCGTGTTCGCCGTGATGGATCAAGACGAGGTACGGAAAGAAGAAAAATCCCCCTCCCCCGGATAATCTTAGATTAACGACGGGGGAATAAAAATAATTCCTACGCGTGGATTCCGTAACCGACTTTGTAGAATGCTGTTCGCCCTCGGGGTTATTTCAATTCCAGATGGTGATGTTTCGATTTTAATTCGCACGGTGGAGTGACGTCACACGTGATAACTTCAGCGCCATGGTCGGCATTGTCGAACCGCTCTGTTGTTGGCCTTTTTGTGCATTGTCTTCTGCATTTGGCGATACTGTCATGAATGAGGCCGGTTTTCTGTGGTGCGAGTCCCCCAACAGCAACGCTACTTGGCACTCGCCTTTGGTTGATATTGGTAATTTTCACGACAGTTACTGTGACGCCTGCTCACCCACCCCTCCCCCCCTCCTCCAGGTTACAGACAGACATAAGGGGGCAGAGCGAATGCACTCACATTTTGAGCCTCAGCCGGCGAATGTTTAACTGCACGAAATCCATGCCAAACAACGGTGGCTTAATATATATATTTTTTTATCCTGGGTCCCCTTAAGTGAATGGGTTCAATGGGAGGCTGCGGCTTAATTGCTCTTGGGTGGTAATTCAGTGCGCTGCTTCGAACCGTTCACCGCTGAGGGGCTTTGTCAAGGGTTGTCCGATTTTATGCCGAGGGGGATGGAAGAGGTCAGAGCCTCCGATTAGCGCGGTTTTTCTAAGCACGGTGCGAAAGACGTTCATCGTACGTGCATGCGTACGTCTCGTCTGGCGGGAGGCAGAATGCACGCACAGCGATTCATCGGTGCTGGTACAGCTTCGATGCTCGGTTCGAATCCGAGTTTCGGCCACCCGTGATTTAACTGGGTTCTCAAGCGTATAGAGTGGGTGATCTCAGCCCAGTCACCAATCACTCTGGACAAAAAAACCCCATCACTTTTTATGCATGTATATAAGAACTTCTTTCGCACCGTACGTAGCCAACCGTGCTAATTGGAGGTGTGGGGGAAGGTCAACAAACTAAACACAAAAGCAGCGCTAAAGAAATTAGTTTTAACTGCCAGTTCGGAGAATGATCACTAACAAACATTACCATGTGGCTGGGCAGGTGGGAAAGTGATCGGATGAGAGGTAGCTTGAAGGGATTTCAAAATGACTTCTGTTCTTATTGCATTGTGCTTGCTCTACTCGATGAGCGTTTGAAATCGATTCTTCATCCCGTGAGATGACACCGTGGTAGCACAATCGGGATATAATTGGCTACACAAAGATTGAGAAATAGAGGGAAAAGGAAGAATAGATTCTTAGGCTCACTCCATATGTGTCGAATCGTGCTGGGCATGGTGGCACACACAGCTGGAATGCACACAAATTAAATCCTGAAACAACTTTCATGGCCTCTGTGAAAAATCTGATTTTAAATGGAATTGACTGTAAATCACAATCCAATTCCAATGGTTACAAGAAAAAAGATTCGGTGAGGATTTTCAAAATATATAAAACACATTGTTGTTGACGCTACTATCCAGCAGTTGTCTATGTTTAATATTTAAATTTCAAAACAAACTAAGGTTTTCCTTGTGATAGGAAAATGTGTGTTCTTTGCTGGACTAAGGCTTGCCATGTGTTTCGGTCCAGACTTTTCCATCTTGACCTGTCTGTGCAGAAGCCAGTTTAATGCACAACTTTCATAAGCAGACCGCTTTTGCCAAAGTTTAAATGTAAAAGCAGTCTTTTACCCAATAATTTACGTACTCGGCTATTATTGTCAGCTTTGTTGCCAAAATAACATTAGTCAATGTTGACATTCTACTGTGACTGGAAAAGTTCAAATCAGCGACTGGATACATTCTCACAAGTGGGGCGGGGCGTGGATCACGATTTGAATCAAGGATTCGATCATTTTTATTCTGAACATTGCAATGAATTTCAATTTAAAGCTTTCGTGACTGCAGGGATTCATATTCTTGGTTCTTTCGGTAAAGTCACGTAGAAGGGATATAATAAAATAATAAAAATACAACAATAAAATTATCACGACGTTTCGATTGCAACACAAGCAGTCATCGTCAGGTGTGAAAACCACAGCAAGAAAATCAATTTCTGATGATGATTGCTTGTGTTGCAATCGAAACGTCGTGAGAATTTTTTAGCTTTTATTTTTATTATTTTATTATTTCCCTTCTACGTGACTTTACCGAAAGAACCAAGAATATTGCGATGAATGTTAGCACCTCTTAGGGTTGCGGCGGAATGAGGGCGGGGGGGGTTGACATGCACGCATGTCACCCGCACTGGTAAAGGTGCAAGCCCTGCAGTTCTGTGCTCATGCCACCGCTGGCCGATCGGCCTCCTCTAAAAATATCTGTATAGAGCCCTGATGGGAGGGTATCTTGGCCTAGTCTTCCACACTGGCCAGACCTCTTGGAAGAGGTGGGAGTAATCCACACTTTTAACCACCACACGTGACCTGCCAATGGACTTAATTGTGGTGTAACTCATTTATACTGCTGGGGTGGACAGAGGTGCGTGGCTGTTGGGGGGAGTAAAAAAAAAAACCCCACGATCTTTTCGACAGCCGTGCGGTGACCTCTTAATTGCAAATCCAGAATCGGCGCCAACCGTTACACATCCACAGCGCCCCCGTCATGCAACGTATACGGATCAATGGTGCTTACACATGCGGTTCGATGCCTTATATCAGCATGGTTGAGAATCGAAATAGGTTGTTGAATTGATGGACCCATTTCACCCCAAGCATTCTATTCCTATCATCGTAATTTTTTTTGTACCAAATAAATTCCTTATTTGAAATAGTACATCTAGATAAATATTGTGATTGGGGAAAAACCAAACGGAGTGTTTTGCCCTGGTTACTGACATTATTATCACATTATTGCATTATGACTGCAAAACAGAACGCAAAGGAAAACTTACTCTACAGCGTGATGATGTACTCTGGGCCTACTGTTGACAGAGCATAGACCCCGACATGCCACAGCTGCGCCTTAATTGCAGTGAGTCAACGAGTCCAATTAAATTTGCTTCATGGAAACCCGCGAGTTGCCAGAGATTTTTCTCCCTTGGCTCAGTTCATCACAACCTGGACTTTGCTCCCACTGTAAAGTACACGCTTGAATCCGACCAAGTACGTACATGCACACACAAAGAAGACAAAGATGCCCCGTGTGGCCTTTGCAGGCTGTCGGGGCAAGTGGTGTTAGCGAGCATCTATGAAGGTCGGCGCGACACACGATTGGAGTGGGTGGCCAGCACCACGCCCAGCCACCTATGTCTCCCAAGTGGTGATGGTTACATGCCGCACCAGGTAATAATTTGAGGCTGAGTCGACATAGGAGGGGGCCCAGGACCGGTTCAGATAACACCGTGAGCGGAAATCGAACTTGGGTCGCCAGGTTCTCAGCGCAGCGCGCTAACCACTGCACTACCGTTATCCCCACCCGCACACACACATGCATATATATATGAAAGAAACTCAACACATTCCTCACTCACACTGCCTTAAAAGGCAAAATTATATAATAGGTGATGTTTAGGGCCACTGGCCTTTCTTCAAAACACACAGAGTGTCCAGGGAGGTAGAGCGTATTTATTGGTTCTTTGTAGATTTAAAAATAATTCAGGAGCTTTCTTTATTTGTTCATATACCGGACTCGCTGCTTTGGTCTTGGGTTTGGCCTCTTGCTTAGTTGACCCATAACAAGCTTTAGCGGCCACATGGATGCTGTTAGCACTCTCCTGCACTTGAGACCCAGAGGGTAACGCCAGTTCAATTTGTTCTCCCATCACAGCGATCGTAACAACGCTGTAAGATTCTTAACCCCCCCCCCCCCTCCCCAACAACTTCTGTCCACCCAGCAGCAGTATAAATGGGTTTGATGCGTTGGCGAAATGTTAACTCTCTCGCCTCGTATACAAGAGGTCGTGGGTTGTGTGTATTTTTTCTTGTGTTCCTCCGGTTTTCCCTCCACACTTTGAATCAACATGCATTTTGAGTTTTTGGTTGCTATACATTTTCACATGATGATAAGCCACTTCAGAATCAGTATATTCATTTATAGCATAAACCTTGGATTGCGAGCATAATTCGTTCCGGAAACGTGTTTGTAATCCAAAGCACTTGTATATCAAAGCACTCGAATATCAGTTGTGATCACGTTACGTTCGGCAGACAAAGCGTATACACGTACTACTCGTATTGCAAGACCTCGCTTGTTTATCAAATTAATATTTATTTAAAAAATTTGCTCGTCTTGCAAAACACTCGCAGACCAAGTTACTCGCAATCCAATGTATTACGGTATAGGGGAGGAATCTGATGAGCAATGAAGTTGTTTTTCACAAATGTCCAGTCACCAGACATCTTGGAAGAGGGCTATCATTTGTGGCCAGGTCGCTTCTGAAAGAGAGCTATTTCGCTTAGTGGGCCTTACTGGTAAAATTCCTTTTTTTTTATATAATTTACAGTTTTTTTTATTGGCATTGTCCAGAGTGGAGGCGGCATTCTGCCAGCAGTGTCATGAGCAAGGAATTGCAGGAATGCACCTTTACCTTTTTATGCAGGGATAGAATTACCTGTGAAACAGAGAAGCGCCGTGATTGTTTTTCCCTACCAGTTCATTTAAATTAATTTTCCAGAACGTGCAGCTGTGCCTGTGTTCACATTTTCAATTTCATCCTGGAAACGGCGTACAAAGAGCAGCCTGCTATACGACGGGTTACATTTCTCTTTTTCCATGACTCCTTCTGGCAAGTGACCACCCCGTAATGGCCAGCATCTCAGCATACATTTGTAGTGAGTTCAACTGAGTCGCAGACACACTCTTTGAAGGCAACACATTTCTTCATTCCAACACAAAGGGGTAACTGCCCCTTCACCAGATAACAACCTATGGTGGTGGATCACCAGGCTAACTACCAGAGGTCGCAAACGGGTTTTGATTCCTTACCCGTGCCCGTACCCGGCCGCACCAGGGTCGCAAACGGGTACCCGTAC